CTTACTTCTCGTTAATACTTTGAAACATACATCTAGCAGAAGTAGTAGCAGGGAGGTTCAGCTTTAGCAAACATTTACGATACAAATAATTTCCTTTCTTATTGTTCTAGTTCCCTTTTCTGACCTCCTCCGTGATCTTTTTTTCTCTCTCCTTAGCGGTCTGCGTTGGACGTTGTCGCAGCTGGTCATGCAGAAGTCCGAGTTGGGACTGAGTAATCCCATTGATATGGTTTACCACATACAGCCGTGGATGACTGTATCGCTCCTACCTCTTGCGGTTATTATGGAAGGTACAGTCGCAATCAAAAGAAAATGTGCCGGGGCTCATTGAAAGTTTTGAAAATAGTTGTGTGGGTGTTCATGCATGTTTGTTCTTATTATCAATAGTTATATATCTTTCTGTATATCTATGTGTTTATGTATATCTATATCTATGTGTATCCATCCATCTGTCTATCTATTTATCTATATATATTTAATTTATTGTTATTTTTATTATTACAGGGACAGCGATAGCAGCAAGCGAATATGGATTTAGGTTTACAGATTCTTCGGAAGCATTATATATGTGGGGGAGAGTTATATTTGGTGCTATTCTCGCTTTTTTTATGGAGGTAAGTTGTGAGTAGGAACTGTATGCAAAGATCCATAAATGAAAAAATAAAAAAAGTAAAATAAGTAAAATAGATGAACAATATTACAGCTACCCCTTTTGTATATCAGTATGCTTCAGTTTTAGGAATTGATAAGCTTTTCTGTGATATTTTTTTTTATTGAGATTGTTCTTTTGATAGTGATTTCTTTTCCATATTTTTCAGGTTTCGGAATATCTATTGGTGTGTTTTACTTCATCTCTTACATTCTCTATTTCTGGCGTTGCCAAAGAAATCATGACACTGTCTTTGGCAGTTTACATCTACAATGAACATCTTACAAATATAAATGTGGTAAGTATTCAGAATATAATGATAATAAAAAAGTTTGTATAGATGTCCAAGGGAAGATTAAAAATAGAATGAGAGTAGTCTAATATTTTGTGTGTTATTTTATTTATTACTTTCTAGGTTGCACTTTGCATAATGAGAGTATTGATGGCATTCTTTCCTGTACTCCAAACTGGGTATATGACTTTCAAAACGACACAGAATCAAAAACTGCTTAATAGAGTAAGGTATTAGTTGCCAGCTATTTCATAGTATTGTCTCTTTCTTCCAACAGCTGGGACTCTTCTTCTGCATCATTGGGATCATCTTGCACGTGGTGTTGAAGGCCATGCACCCACAAAAACCCCCACCACCACAGCACATTCCCCTAACACCTGCGGAAAATTACCAGAAGGTCCCCCTCCTCTCTGAATCCGATGACGAGGAGCAAGAGCTCTATTCCAGGTAGTTTAGAAACGTGATAGCAGTGGTTGCACAAAATGACAAGTGAGATGGTGGCTGTTGGAGTGGATTATGAAATTTGTATGTTGAAGACTTAAGAGTGTTTATATATGATAAAATTGCCATGTCAGGTGTTATGTTTGCAGAATTTACCTATTACAGAATGGTGCGTTCAGAAGGTTGTTTCTAAAGGAAAGACAGAATGGTAATTTGGTTTTGTGCTTATAATTATGGTGTATAGTGTTCCAGTGGATGTATAGAAAATGTGAAGTACATGTACATTCCATTTTGTTTAGCGCTTACAAACTTCTTATTTCTTTTGTAATATATATTATAACAATTACATAGAACAAGTAAATATAAATATTGTGAATACATTTTCAGTTAGTCACAATAAATAAAAAGAAGTTTTATTATCAATAAAAGTGACATGTTTTTATTGAGTTAGTGTTCTTCATGTGCCTGTCTTTATCCTTTTCCTATGGATAAATTAGAACTTGAATATCAAACAATATTTATTGTTTTATAAAGTTTGTATTCTTCATGTGTTTATCTTTATCCTTTATATATATCTGGTTCTTTAGTGTCTGAATTTGTTGACTGAGTAGTAGTAACAATGAATATTATGATAATGATGATAATAATTGTGTTGATAATATTAACCCATTGCCGCTGGGGATGGCATGTACGTATATGCCATGCCCACTGTGAGTCGACTTGTTCGATTGTTTTTACACATAGATGGCTACACTTGTAGTAAGTATCCAATGAGCCAGTTACGAGTACTGCATGTCTCGCCCGTTCACCCTTTTCATCGATTTACAAAAATATTTAACGTTATCCTAATTTGCTGTTAAAAATAACACCATCTATATTTATAGCACTAATAAAAATACATTTTCTCTCACCAATTCAAGGGAAGGTGAAATCAGGACTAGCAGAGCCATCTATGGACAGAGATATTTCACAAAAATATAAAAAATGGGTACTGCATTTCACCCATTTTTTGTTCATTTTCCCCGGCGGCAATGGGTTAACATTACTAATTATGATAATGATGATAAAAGTAAGAATAAGCAAAATATTGATAATAATACTAAATAGTGATAATGATGATGATACAGCTAATAATAGCTAAAGATAATAATAATTTCCATCATACTCTTAAAATTTGTTATAAAAATGAGGGTCCAAAATAGCATTGGACCCTACACTCTTTAAACATTTAACATCTCACTTTTTAACTGCTCTACCCTCCTAATTCCTTGCCTGTTGTTGTCATGGGGGGGGGGGGGGGGGCTTAGGAGAGGGATCAGCCCTCGCCTCAACTAATTTTGCATGGTCTTTTCTTCTCCCTCTTTCCTTTTCCTTCTTTCATTCATCCCCTTCTGTCCACTTCCTAAAGTGTGATAACTGTGCTGAGAGGATGAAAGGCTGGCACTGTGTCAGTCATAAGTGGCCTCAGGGAGCCATAGGCACAGGATTCCCTTAGTTCACTGCCTAGCCCCTACTCCTCATGGGGACCCTGTGGGAATAGACCGATTCCTCTCCCCATTTATTTCAGGCTCACCATGGCCAATAATGAGGATTTTTTGCCCTTATTAGGGGTATTAACCCCTTGGTGCCGGGTATGACGTGTACGTACGTGCTATGCCCACCGTGAGTACTTGTTTGATTGTTTTTACGCATAGATGGCAACACTTGTACTAAATCACCAATGAGCCAGTTACAAGCACCGCCCGTCTCGCCCGTTTACCGTTTCTTTGATTTACGAAATATTTTACGTAATCTTATTTTGCTGTTACTAATGTTAAAAAAAATTATAAAAATTATAATGTTTATGATAAAAATAACACCATCGATTTTCATTGCTTTAGTGAAAAATACGTTTTTCCCTCCATTTAAATCAGGCGCTAGCAGAGCCATATATCGGCAGACATTTCACGAAAAACATAGAAAGTGGGCACAATATTTTCCCCATTTTTTGTTCATTTTCCCCGACACCATTGGGTTAAGGCTTGCCCCTTCATCAACTAGCCAATGTAAATTTGATTTCACTGGATTCTCAACCCCTGCCCCTCCTTTGACCATGGTTCCGACTGCTGATAATACCCCCTCCTCAAAGTTTGCTGTCAACTCGATCCATTCCGAATCATCAACCCAGGGCATGACTCAACTTTTAGAATACACCCCTTCTTCTCTCCTAACATCCTACATCTCCCACTCCATCTTCTACTGCACAGTCTTCTTCTCCACTGTCTACCCCATCACCATTATTACTACTCTTCCTCTTTACTGTCCTCCCAACAGTACTACCTCTCTCCATACCACCCCATCTTCCTCCCCCCCTCGTCCTTCTACTGCTTCCACCTCTGCAAACCTTCAGAGTACCCTTTTTAGCCTGGCCAAAATATTTTTTGAGCTATTACTTCAGTTACTCCTAGTTTAAACTGAAAAGTCTAAAAGTTACAGAATAAAAAATCTAAATATATTATTCCAACCTATCCAAGGGAGGGAACCTGTATATCTAGCACGTAAGGGACTTAATTCAAAGAGAGAGATCCATTTTAGTACAAGGAAAGGCAAAGCTACAAGAGACAACTTTTATGTAGGAAATTTCATTTCACATTTCTCAAAAAGGAAATATTGAATAAAATAATGATTTTTTCTTTGTAATTTCCTTAGATGAGTTGTTAACCCATTGCCGCCGGGGAAAATGAACAAAAAATGGGGGAAATGCAGTACTCATTTTTTATATTTTTGTGAAATGTCTGTCAATAGATGGCTCTGCTAGTCCTGATTTCACCTTCCCTTGAATTGGCGGGAGAAAATGTATTTTTATTAGTGCTATAAATATAGATGGTGTTATTTTTAACAGCAAATTAGGATAATGTTAAATATTTTTGTAAATCGATGAAAAGGGTGAACGGGCGAGACAGGCAGTACTCGTAATTGGCTCATTGGATACTTAGTACAAGTGTAGCCATCTATGTGTAAAAACAATCGAACAAGTCGACTCACAGTGGGCATAGCATGTACGTACATGCCATCCCCGGCAGCAATGGGTTAATAACTTTTCTGAGGAAGAGATACAAAGGTTGTATATATCTTTAATCAACAGCCAAGGTATCTCCTGACAGTAAACTCTTATTCTGCAACTACCTCTCAGCTGTTACAAAATACAAAATACTTCCTCACCAAGTCATGCAGTTTAGGTACAAGAGAGTTGAGAATTATAGTGTGGAGATTGCTTCTGCAGATCCCTACATGGTGAGGTGAAGTGATCACCATTATAATCAAAATACTTTACTGATTCAAGCCTCTGTTTGTGAAGTCTCTCTTGATGTAAAACATGGGTTTAGTATTGCATTATACAAGAAATTCACTCATATTAGAAAAAAATGTGTACATATCATCCTCTTTCAGGAATTATAATAGCATTTCATTAATTTGCTCTCAGTGAGATAGCTTACTTGGTTTGTGACGTTTCTTAGATATATCTGAAGATTTTTCAGTCAAAATGTTAGCATTTAGCCTTATGAAATGATCCTGGAAATACTCCAGAGATATTCCATAAGAAAACTATATGAAAGATTGAAAGTTTTGACTTCGAACTTTTCAACATATTTTATTTTCTTCCTTAAGTTTATTCTTCAAGACTAGTAATGAAGGAACACATCCAGCCAGACATACACACATGCCCCCCTCCCCCCATTTTTTTCATATATTTTGATAAACAATGAACTGTTATCCAGAAGAGATTGTAGAAATATTCAGAATAATTTTACATGAAACAGCAGACAGAAGTTTATGATGGACTTTCATATCCAACAACATATAACAGTAACCATGAAAGTAACATTTTTTGATGTTAGGTAAAATTGATACTACCATGTCATATAGGCCCATGTGTGGTTCTGGCATTCAGATTTGTTTGGGAAAATATAAAAAAAAAATAAATCCAAAAAGCCAAAAATGAGTTAACATGAACAACATTCAAATTATTTGGTTAAAATATGTACTATAAATGTTAAAGTTTGGTAACAAAGACTTTATTATCAAATGTCTACAAATTAATAATCGTTCATTAAGTACGATAAAGTGCATGTCTGTGTACAAACATAATAACACAGCATGTTGAATTATATACCCTAGTTTGTCTTTTAAATATATATATATACATATATTATGCTTAAAACCAGGAAATCAAAATATATAAACAACTTACTCATTCTCTTTTATAATTAAAAAATACATTCTCTATCTACTTCTTCTGGTCATATAAAAGCTTTCAATAACAATAATCCAACAATAAAAAAAAAAAAAACATGGCACGTCTCTAACCTGCCTATGATTATGAAACAACTTCATAAACATTTACAGTGAACAAAGCACAAAATAAGCCTGCAATGGACACATAAACTCGCCTTCACAAGATAAACAACACTAAGGATCAAGAGCTTCACTGTCCGTCCGGTGGAGAAGCCCAGGCTGGTTTTGCAATGAGGTGCTTCTCGCGCTCGGCTTGCTCAGCCCGCGCTTGCTCTTGGTTCAGGGCCTTCTGCTGCTGCTGCTGTTGCAGGCGAATAGCTCTCCTCTGTATGGTATGGAAAGATCCAATATTTTTTAAATATGACAATAATAATAATAATAATAATAATAATAATAATAATAACATTAATAATAATAACAATAATAATGATAATAATATTAATAATAAAATAAATAAATAACAACAATAATAAAATAAATAAATAAATAATAATAACAATAATAATAACAATAATAATGATAATAATATTAATAATAAAATAAATAAATAATAACAATAATAAAATAAATAAATAAATAATAATAACAATAATAAAATAAATAAGTAAATAATAATAATAATAAAATAAATAAATAATAATCATAACAAAATTAATTAATTAATTAATAAAAAAATAAAATCAGGTTGTAAATCTATAATGTACAGTAGTAAGATTCTAGTAATAAGTGAGAATAAGCACAAGCTGAGGTCTATGACATGACAGTATGCCTACTTCAATCTGTAATTGACATATTCTATTCAATAAGATAGAAAACAAGGCATAAAATAAAATAGATGTAAAAAAAGAAAAAGAAAAGCCATTGTACTCCTGAACTATAACGCAAATTTGGAATTAACAAAATGTACTTTTGTACAAATATTTCGAAACTACCTAAATAAAGTAATTTTTACTCTCCCAATAGGCTAATTGTTAACAATCATTTAAAAGTTGCAAATTACTAGACCTAAAACTAAAACTATACAATTTCAATAACTCTTTCACATTATAATCTGTAGCACTTTAATATAAAAGAAAAACAAATATATATATATAACCACTACACCAATACATACCTTAATTCGTGTTGTTCTTTCAGATATACTATTCATCTCTGCCTTAAGTCTTGTTAGTTTCTGGGAATAAATTGATACTTCGGCAAACTGAAATTAACATGAAAATGAGTTATTAGTCATCTAAGCACACACAAGTACACACAATCTCCAACTTGCTGACTCACTCAATCATCTGTCAAGTTAACCTGCTGTAGGCTAGGGAGGGAGGGAGGGAGGGAGGGAGGGAGGGAGGGAGGGGGAGGGAGGGGGAGGGGGAGGGAGAGGGAGAGGGAGAGGGAGAGGGAGAGGGAGAGGGAGAGGGAGAGAGAGAGAGAGAGAGAGAGAGAGAGAGAGAGAGGAAAAGAGAGAGAAAGAGCAAGAAATCCTTTTGTTAAACAGTCTTTTTATCATATCATTTTTTTTTTCTAACATTAATAAATGAGTACAGTCTCAAATTAACACTCCTACTTATGTTACCAAAAATTCATAACCAATATAAAAGCAAAAAAGAAAGAAGGAAAAAAACTTACCAATGCTGGTAAATTGAAGGTGGCTTCGACTTCCTTAAACCGGTCATTCTCACCGTGCAGACCCTCTGCTAATACCTGCTGATGTTGTCTTTAAAATGTCATTGAAAAAAGAAAAAATAATAAGTTAATTAAAAGAAAAAAAGTATAGGAGGGTGGTCAGTTTGTAAGTCAAGAATCATCACCATTTATGGCCAAGCCTAGGTATGTATCAGATAAATTTTGCCCAGTTCCTACTATTTTTTACATGTGAAAAAACAAAACAACATATAATTTCAATGTGATATTTTTTTATCAAAGTTGTATGAAGCATGATCTGATGTTATTGATCCATCAAAATTTTCCAGTACAAAGGAAAACAACCAAAAAAAATAACTATGTAGCTTGAATTCAACAGTTGTAATTAATTCTACCCAAACTATATTTGTTCCCATGTCCATATAAGCTCCATCTATATCTATGTAAATTACGTCTTGCCTAAAGTATATATACAGCTTGGCGACAGGTCTTCCCCACCCCTATCCACCCATACTCCTCCCACATAAGATAAGGACAGGGGAGGATGTTGATACTCTTTGGATGGAATTAGTGGAATTTGTGGTGCAAAAGCTGGCCAGAAGCGAATGCAAAACAAAAATCTGATAAATGACTTTTGTGCATTTTTGGTGACAGGTCTTTTAATGTTACCTGAATTCAAGTTGTGTGTAAATAGTATTTTCTTTATTTTTCTCTTCTATCACTGGCAAGAAAGAAAGAAAAATAATGAAGACTATTCTTATGCCTTATGTTACAGGAGAGCAATAAAATGAAATGCAAGAGTTAGTAGAAAAAAATATATATATAACTGGAAGTAAACTTACAAAAGCTCCTTTAACTTGGCTTCAATTGGCTTCAGCTTGTTTTGGTGTGCACAGATGACAGATGTTAAGGCAGCTAAAGAAGGTGGGACTTCGCATTTCCCTGACCCATTCACTGCTGCTGCAGTGTTTAAATTCCCCTGATGGGGGTTTCTCTCCTTTACTGCTTGACTAGTCATTGTTTCTGATATCTGAAATGGCACAAAGGTATACATACATAATTACTTGTGTATATCTATGTGTGGAACATGGAAATAAAGCACATCAAAAAGATATCTGTCAGTTACACAGAGAATGTGTTATGAGAGTCTGAATATTCTCCTGAAATAGCATTAAGAGGCAAAACAAACCAACAGGAGTAGTGTATTAGGTAGCAAAATACACACGTGCACACATATGCGCATGTGCACATGCAGGTACACACACACAAATAAGAAATAATGAAAGTATTCCCTTTTTGCAAAATGTAACAGATCATACTTGTGTGAGAGGGTTAGACAGAACAATTACACTTGACCTAATATTCCCAAAGCATAATAATGATACAAAGGATATGAAGTACTGTCCTCCTCTGCAAAAAAGTGACCATGTAGGAATTAACTAACAGGAAAAACTCATCGTAATTAAGGATAGAAAGAGAAAGTACAAGAGAGGTCATTACAAAAGCCTTAAAGAGGATCTTGAATGGCATAACCTAGAAACAATCCTTCAAGACTGATGCTAGAAATGGTCAAATGTGATTCAATGCTACATGCAAGAAAATGAGTGAAAGCATGCAGTTCCTTTGGAAAAGGTTCAGAAGTCACAGATCCCAAAATAGTTTATAAAAGATATAACGTAGGAAGAAATGAGAAAACCCAAATAATGAGAAGGCAAACAGAATATAATCAACAAATGTATAAATCAACCAAAGCTCTTCTTTAACTACATAAATAGTTTAGACTAAAAATAGGGATCAAATTATCACAATTAAAGACAACAATTTAGTTTATACTAAGGACAAATCGTGTGATATCCTTAACAAGAAATTTCAGTGAAAAGCTGAAAGTAAAAAGAAGCAAATCAGAAAAAAAGTTTTTCAAACAGAACTACTGAAATATGGAAGAATCTCCCTAATAATGTTATGTGCTAAAATGTGCATCTATTTAGAAAGTTACATAATAATTTAGATATGGGACCCTCCAAGCCTCACTTTTCTCACATATTTAAACAACTATGTAAAAATGACTAAAAAAGAACACACATGTGTATAAAGTATGTACATATATATATATATATATATATATATATATATATATATATATATATATATATATATATATATATATATATATATATATATATATACACATATACATATACATATACATATACATATACATATACATATACATATACATATACATATACATATACATATATACATATATACATATATAACATATATAACATATATACATATATACATATACATATACATATACATATACATATACATATACATATATACATATATACATACACATATACATATATACATACACATATATATACATATATATACATATATATACATATATATACATATATATACATATATATACATATATATATATATATATATATATATATATATATATATATATATATATATATATATATATATATATGTTTATTTTGTATTATTTTACTTTTTTATAGACAGATTCTGTCGAAATAGTATTACCAATTGAAAACAATTTCTAACTTTTTTGACATGTTTTCTCCATTTCTCAGTGAAGTATGTTTTTCTAAATTTTAAAGTGTCAATTACAAGGCCACTAATTGGGAGCAAATATTCAGAATACCTTCACAAACCGATCTTGATACTTTTGGTATTGATGGATTCCTCTCACTCTCTACAATACAAATATATCAAAATTATGCTGCAGAATGTCCCCACCCTACTCCATTACCCCCACAAGAGCCCCAATAGCAGGGGAGAGTATGGAAAATACCAAGAAAATTCCCACACAGGAAGACAAAGACTCTACCATGTATGTATGATAGAAGAGAGCATGAGAGTACTCCTTGGTTCCATCAACTCCCCACCTGAACACCCTCACAGCTTATCTATCAATCAGGGTAGTAATTCTTTGCTTGGTGTGCTTGGTCCATATGTAGGTTGCATGTTCTATCCTGCCGTGAACACATGGAAGATTCTTCGTTGTCCAAAGCGGGGGTTGTGGGCAGCAGTATAGCGAGTTATTATCTATTTTGTGTTCTTATATTATTGTCATTTTACCATAAAATATCCCTGGTATCTCTAATGCCATCCCTTTCTATGAGGGCCAAGATTGTGGGGTTTGGAGTTTCCACAGCATAATTCCTATATGTATGTGCACTAGGGCATGAGAGGAATCCATCCATACCAAATTCATTGTGGTTGGTTATGTAAAGGTATCCTTAACAATTAGCCTATCTAGCCATAACAAACACATAAATCAACTGTATATGTGATGGTAAGTCTTGATTTTTTTTTGCAATGATAGATCATCAAAATAAACTTTCACAGAGGAGTCAAAGCTCTATGATAATAAATAATTTCATTACCAGCACGTAGCAGTTTTAATCCATAAGCAAACATTTGCTAGAGTTTCAATCTCATACTGAATACAGGGGAAAAATCTTAAAACACTGATATAAAAAGAAAAAAACTATGCTCCCAGACACTTGAAAAATATGCAGGCAAATAATAACATAAGAAATGAAGAAAATTGGTTGCAACAAATGATGAGCGGCGGTTAAATCCATGTTGATTGGGTGGGTTTCTGGAGGTAAACCCCCAGGTTAGGAAGGATTTTGGTTCATACAACAATGTCTGTGGATTCCTAGCTTATTGGCTGAAGTAATTTGGACTTAGGCTCAGGGGTGTGTGATCACTTAGTTAATAATTACCAATTATTTCACAAACAACTGAGCCACTTATATTACACGGTGAATAACTGGGACAAAAAATGGGCAATATGTAGTATAAGGTAGTGGCTGAGTTGGGTAATAAAACCTACATGAAATGATAGAACAATACAAACCAAGACAAAGTTCTTCTATGGCAATATGTGTGCAAATGCTTCCCAAGAGTGCTATACGTAAAAGAAAAGGGAAGAAGATGGGTTACTTTCGAAACAATTTTAACACATTGCCGCCGGGGAAAATTAACAAAAAATGGGGGAAATGCAGTACTCATTTTTTATATTCTTGTGAAATATCTCTGCCCATAGATGGCTCTGCTAGTCCTGATTTCACCTTTCCTTGAATTGGCGGGGAAAAAACGTATTTTTACTAGTGCTATAAGTATAGATGGTGTTATTTTTAACAGCAAATTAGGATAGCATTAATTATTTTCGTAAATCGATGAAAAGGGTAAACGGGCGAGACAGGCAGTACTCGTAATTGGCTCATTGGATACTTAGTACAAGTGTAGCAATCTATGTGTAAAAACAATCGAACAAGTTGACTCACAGTGGGCATGGCACATACGTACATGCCATCCCCGGCGGCAATGGGTTAATATTTTTCTGCATGAAATCCACTACTTTTAACGATTCTAGGCATCCAACCTAACCTAACACCGTGGTATACATT